ACGTATTCTGGATACGTGTTGAGCTCCGTAACAATACGCTACGTGTTGCGTGTTGCGTATCGGGGCGGCTAAGCGCAGGAGGCGTGCCTGGCCAGCTGCAGGCGGTTGTACCAGTGCTGGCTCCAACGGCCAAACAGAAAGCATCCCAGGCTGAGTTCCGGGGCGCTGGCATGGTGCCAGGGTTGCACCGAATCCGAAGCAAATATCGACGCCCACAGCAAGCTAGGTCTTGGGAGTCACGGCGCAGGAGGCCTATCTTGTAATCACAAGGCGGACAAATCAGTCACATCAGTAACTGTTTGGCAAGGATTGTAAAGGCTGGCCGCGGAGTGGCTCGGCAGGAGTCCTTTTTACTCAGGAGCGGCGCCCGTGGCTCTTTCGCACGGACTGCCCGAGGGTGCGCCCTGACCGTGGCAGGGATCTCCGGTTTCAGCGCGCGCTGGGTGGAAGGCACCCGAAAGGGAATCGCAGGCTCGCCGATGAGTTCGGGGCCCATTGGCCCGAGTCGTCAGAGAGCTCAGGGGTGGGGGTCGCCCAGATAGGCGGGCAGAGGCAATCGAACACATCATCCAATCTGCGTGCGGGTCCTCGGCCATCTGACCCCCCTCCCCCATCCATCGCCCTCGTGTTGCCCTCCCTTCTCCTGCTCTTTTGTTCCACTGCTCCTCCCTCCCTCCCTCCTCCCCTGATGCATTGCTCCTCTCTGTCCCCTGTTTGATGAGCCTGTTTTCCACCACCACCACCATAAGTTGGATGGGGGGAAGAAGAAGGAGGAGGAGGAGGAGGAGGAGGAGGAGGAGGAGGAGGAGGACCCCCCCCCCCTCCAACTTATGGTGGTGGTGGTGGTGGAAAACACGCCCACTCCCTCCCCTCCTATGGTCTTCCCTGTTGTTTTGTCCCAACCATCCTGTGGTGTTGGGTCCTCGTTTTGAAGAGACGGTGCCCCGCGTCTGTCCTTCCTCCTCCCCCTCCTCTCACTCCTCCCTCCTCCCCCTCCTTGCCTCTGCTCTCGGCGCACCTTTCACGCGCTTCGTGGCCCCATAGGGGGCTCCGCCGATGGCCCCAGTGGGGGGGGGGGCCGCATGCGGTTCCCCCACCCAGGGCAGCGCTACGTGGCCCCATAGGGAGCTCCGCCGATGGCCCCAGTAGGGGGGGCGCATGCGGTTCCCCACCCAGGGCAGCGCTTCGTGGCCCCATAGGGAGCTCCGCCGATGGCCCCAGTGGGGGAGGTCGCATGCGGTTTTCCCCACCCAGGGCAGCGTTTCGTGGCCCCATAGGGAGCTCCGCCGATGGCCCCAGTGGGGGGGCGCATGCGGTTCCCCACCCAGGGCAGCGTTTCGTGTCCCCATAGGGAGCTCCGCCGATGGTCCCAGTCGGGGGGGGGAGGGACGCAGGCGGTTCCCCCACCCAGGGCAGCGCTTCGTGGCCCCATAAGGAGCTCCGCCGACGGCGCCCGTGGGGGGGGGGGAGGGGTCGCATGCGGTTCCCCCACCCACGGCAGCGTTTCGTAGCCCCACAGGGGGCTCCGCCGATGGCCCCAGTGGGGGGGGGGGTCGCATGCGGTCCCCCCGCCCAGGGCCCCGCTTCGTGGCCCCATAGGGAGCTCCGCCGATGGCCCCCAGCGTGGGGGGTCGCATGCGGTTCCCCCACCCAGTGCAACGTTTCGTGTCCCCATAGGGAGCTCCGCCGATGGCCCCAGTGGGGGGTGGTCGCATGCGGTTCCCCCACCCAGGGCAGCGTTTCGTGCCCCCATAAGGAGCTCCGCCGATGGCCCCAGTGCGGGAGGTCGCATGCGGTTCCCCCGCCCAGGGCAGCGTTTCGTGGCCCCATAGGAAGCTCTGCCGATGGCCCCCGTGGGGTGGTCGCATGCGTATCCCCCACCCAGGGCGGCGTTTCGTGCACCCATAGGGAGTTCCGCCGATGGCCCCAGCGGGGGCGCGTGGGTCACTTTACAACCAGAAGCGCACTTCACAACCAGATGGGTCACTTTACAACCAGCTTACAAAATCCGAGAAGGGCACTTTACAACCAGGAAGGGCACTTTACAACCAGGCAAGTAAAAACACATATTGAATGCACGCGGGCCTTTCCCTGGAATCTCCGTGGGCAAGCGCAAGGGTGGCTTTGGGCTCTCTGAGGCATGTTGGTTGTAAAGTTGCCCATCGCGCACGAAGAAGCACTGCGCACGCGTTGGCGATGCGGCGACCTGGTGCGCTATGGTATGTTGCGTGCTGGTGGGCGGATTAGGGTTTTGACCTGCTCTCTAAGCTCTGTCGGTCAGTTCTGCCATTGCTTGCTCTGCCCTTTTTTTCTGACGGGCGAAGGCTAGTCGCGCAGGGCACACGAATAGACAATGATCCCGTCCAAGGCTGGAGCTGCATGGCAGTGGGAAGCTGTAGTGGGAGATGTGGTGGTAGCGGAGGCTACAATGGGAACTGCATGGCGTTGGGAAGCTGCGGTGGCAACTGCGGTGGTCGCCAGGCAGCGGTGGGAATTATGGTGGTAGCTGGGCTGCAATGGGATTTGCGGTGGTAGCGGGGGGTCAGTCGGGATTGTGGAGGTAGCGGGGCTGCAGCGGTAAGTTTGGTGGTAGCAGGCGCAAAGGTGGCGGTGATGCGCTGTCACGGTGGCTCAAGCTGCTGCGCTGGCACGGTGGCTGAGGCTGCTGCCCGAGCAGGATACCTGCGTTGCTGCGCTGGCGCTGTGGCTGACGCTGGAAGGAACGATCTTCGAAATAGTTGCATTTATTCGGAACGTTGAACCTCGATCTTCCACGAAGAGGAGCAGCAGGGGGCCAACTGGAGCTGGAGCACTGAGCCCCTTGCAGAACACCGTGGGGCTTCAGGGACCAACGTGGCGCAAGAGACCCGCGGCGCCAATGGCCTAGTTCCCTGGGGCGCTGGGCCCTTGTGGAGGCCACTGGGCTCGCTTCCTGTGAGTGGTCCCTAAAATGGGCAGCGCGTCGCCCTGAGCCTTCCTACGTATGCTGTCGCCTTATTCCCGTGCGAGCACGGGGCCCTTGTTGAGGCCGCTTGGCCCCTGCTAGCAAGCCCTGTCTTAGTCTGCTGGGCTCAGAGCGCCAGAGCGTCCAGGCGCTCGGGCTCAGAGGCATCGCTGGGGCCTGCTCAGAGCGTCCAGGCGCTCGGGCTCAGAGGCGTCGCTGGGGCCTGCGCAGAGCGTCCAGGTCCTCGGGCTCCGAGGCATCGCTGGGGCCTGCGCAGAGCGCCCAGGTCCTCGGGCTCAGAGGCATCGCTGGGGCCTGCGCAGGGCGTTCAGGCGCTCGGGCTCAGAGGCATCGCTGGGGCCTGCGCAAAGAGTTCAGGCGCTCGGGCTCCAGAGCGCCCACGTGCTCTGGAGCACTTTTCAGAGCGTCCGCGCGCCCTGGAGCACTTTCTGAGAGCGCCCACTTGCCCTGGGGCATTTTTCAGAGCGCCCACTTGCTCTGGGGCATTTTTCAGAGCGCCCACTTGCTCTGGAGCACTTTGCGGAACGCCCAAACACGCACGGCCACTCTGAGCTGGTTGTAAAGTGGTCCGTTCTGGTTGTAAAGTGGCCCGTTCTGGTTGTAAAATGGTCCGTTCTGGTTGTAAAGTGGGCCGTTCTGGTTGCAAAGTGGACGTTCTCGATGAAAAACCATACTTTCCAATCCTATGTTGGTTGTAAAGTAACCCATCTGGTTGTAAAGTGGTTGTTCTGGTTGTAAAGAGACCGAATATCCCCAGCGGGGGGGGGGGGGGGCGCATGCTGTTCCCCACCCAGGGCAGCGCCTCGTGGCCCCATAAAGAGCTCCGCCGATGGCCTCAGTGGGGGGGGGGGGGGGGGGTAGCATGCGGTTCCCCCGCCCAGGGCAGCGCTTCGTGGCCCCATAGGGAGCTCTGCCGATGGCCCCAGTAGGGGGGGGGGGGGGCGAGCGCGGTTCCCCCACCCAGGGCAGCGCTTCGTGGCCCCATAGGGAGCTCCGCCGATGGCCCCAGTGTGGGGGGGTCGCATGCGGTTACCCCACCCAGGGCAGCGTTTCGTGGCCCCATAGGGGGCTCCGCCGATGGCCCCAGTGGGGGGGGGGGGGGTCGCATGCGGTCCCCCTCACCCACCGCAACGCTTCGTAGCCCCATGGGGAGCCCCGCCGAAGGCCCCAGTGGAGGTGTTAGCATGCGGTTCCCCCGCCCAGGGCAGCGCTTCGTGGCCCCATAGGGAACTCCACCGAAGGCCCGCCTCAGTGGCGCAGTTCGCATGCGTTTCCCCCACTCAAGACAGCGTTTCGTGGCCCCATAGGGAGCCCCACCGAAAGCGGCACCCACAACGCGTTACGAACAATTGCTCATGGTTGGGTTTTTCGCCAGGATAAGTTCCCCCCCTTTCACCCCGTCAATCCTGTGGCAGGGGCGGAGAGTGTTGTACTCCCCCCCCGTTCTCATTCGGCATCTTTTTATGTTTTGTCCTCTTCGCCCTTCTCCCTCAACGTTGGTGGGCAGCTTCTCCCTCGACGAGTCCCTCCGTCTCCCTCAACGTCTTGTGTCTTGCCCTCCTTGTCTTTCTTCCTCAATGTTTTTGTCCTTCTCCCTCAACGCTGTTGTGGCTCATCCCCTGGTAGATGTTGACACAGTGGCATCCGAGCCTTTGATTCAGCCTCGACTGAGTGCGACGTCGACCTCCCTCTGGTGAAGCTGTCATCTGCTGGTGGGCGGGCCCACACCTCTCACACGATGCGGCTCCACGATGCCCTGGATGCTTGGCCTTGCAGCCGACAGTGCTACCAGGCAGCAGCAGAAGCTTCGCGAATCCGTGAGGTCGTGTTCTACGCCAGGCCATGCTACCAGACGTGAGTATCGTCCGCGTTTGAGTACGCGTTGCCAAAGGTGTTCGGTCGTTTCGGTGCAGCTTGAATGGAGCATGCCATGCTCGCTCACGGTACGGAGCCGTCGAATCGCGATTATTCGTGATCCTACTCGATTCGTGCTCCGGCGTCCCCTCCTGAGTCGTCCAGCCCCGCACCCGCGCAGGGGCCGAGCTATGGTGCTGCTGGCGCGGCGAGCTCTGCAGGAGTTCCACCCGATGGAAGTTTGGAGCAGGGGGGATTGAGACGGGGTAGGATAAGCAGATACTTTGGGACGAGAGGGGACGAGGAGGAGGAGAAGTGTGAGGAGGATGAGAAGGACTGTGTTGTATTGAATTCGATTGGCCCTGCGTTCGCTGCTGGCTCAAATCTAGAGCAACTGGATGGAGCTATGGCGAGGAGGAGGTGGAGACGTATGACGAGGGGGAGGTGAAGTGGGAAACGTGATTTTCTTAACTACGGGGGCGTGGGGGAGGGATGATGGAGGGAGTCTCTCGTTGGCGCTGAAACCTTCCGCAGATGCCCTACAGTTGACAGTTTCGTTTGCCAGCGTGGACCCCAAGCAGGGGGCGTTGCCCACTCGATGTGCACCCAATGCGTTGATTTCCACGTTCTCTTGCATGGGCGATAAGCGGTGCAACGTGTGGAACACAATCTGTGTGTTGGAAGTTCTGTGGTGTATGTGGTGGCGACAGCGTTGGCAGCGGTAGTTGTGGTGGAACTAGCGGCTGTAGTAGTAACACCACCGTAGCGGTAGTAGCAGAATTCTAGACGCCACGCGTAACCCCACCGGCCCATCCAGAAACGATGCCCAGACGAGTTGTGTTGATTTGGCAGGGATTTGAGGTGCATGGCGGTGGAATAAAGCATTGGGTAGTGGGTTCGGAGGCCTGGTGCGAGGCGTGGAGCGGCAGGCAGCGGACCTGGCGCCTCACTACCCCGTCCGGCTCACCGTGGCGGGCACGAAGAGCCAGGAGCAGGCGTTGCTGCACAAGGCGCCCCGGACGTTCCCTGCCGAGAGGCCCGTGGGGCCCAGGAGGGAGTTGATCGGCAAGCTGACGGAGGCGGCAGTGCGATGGCGGGTCCGAGCTGGGTTCGCCGTGGACTCTGCGGTGCAGCGTGGGCCACCTGTTGAGCGACCTCCGGAGGGAGCAGATCGCAGCGTGGGAATCGTGCCGCCCGTGGCGGGGTCCTCTGAGAGTCCCGATTGCACCCTTGGCGAGGTCCCGTCTGTTCCGAGCACTGCTGCGAGCACCTCGGCGCCGTCGGCGATTGGGGCTTCTGCGAGAGCTGGGTCTTCGACGGGAGGGGAGGTGGCGAGTTCCCTACCCCCCCTCCTGGCCAGGGATGTGCATTCCCCTGGGGAGGGGACACGAGCAGCCCAGAGGTTGTCGGAGCTGCCAACGCTGGACCAGCTCTACGCCGAGTTCGTTAGCCTCTTGGAGGAGGACCTGGGCGGCCTCTTCGATTGGGACGCCGTGGAGACGGCGAAGCACGCAGGTCGGGCGCAGGAGCCGTCTTTCGTCCCGCGGCCTGTCTTCACGAAGGCGCAGGGGCCTTTCTTGCGGGGCTGCGAGCAGGCCAGGCGCTGGAGGCACATCGGCAGCCTGCTGTGGGAGATGCTTCAAGCGCGTCGCCGCCTTCGCTTCGAGCACCAGCGGCCGCAGGAGCTGGCCCTGCTGTCGGCTCTCCAGGGTAAGCTCGGACGCCTGGCGGCGAAGGACCTGGTGGGCGACCTCTTTCCTGGGGATGAGGCCCGCTGGCGCCGGCGCCAGACCGAGCTGGCTCGGGAGCTCCGTGCAGTGGGCAACCTCACTTTCCAGGAGGTGCAGGCGCTGGAGAAGCATGCCAGGGCGGTGGCGGAGAGGTTCGAGAGGCGCCTTGCGGTGCAGCGCTCGCGCAGCTGGCGTGAGTGGGCACGGTCGGCGGTCGCGGACGGCGGAGGCGCGGCTCACGGCTTCTGCAAAGCCCCTGTGGGCTGCTCAGCTGACCGCTCAGCTGACCAGGCGACGGCCGACGGCTCGCCCGCGGGCATCTCGGCCACGCTGCGGGCCATGAAGGAGGAGTACCAGGAGGTGCGGAAGTTCGGCCAGGAGGAGTTCGACTTGGACCAGGCCCTCCCCGAGGACCTGCTCGAGCCTCCTCCGCCGCCGCCGACGCCGCTGGAGATCTTGGAGGTCGCGCAGTCCTTCAAGCCGAAGACGGCGGTGGGTGTCGACGGCATGAAGCCGGGCCAGTTCGGGTGGCTGTCCACCGATGGTTTGGTCGCCCTTGGTTTGCTGCTCCACCTCATCGAGCTGACGGTCGAGCTGCCCATGCAGGTGGCGGAGAAGTTCATTTTCTTCCTGGCCAAGCCCGAGGGCGGCTGGAGGCCGATCGGGTTTATATGCAGCCTTCTGCGGCTGTTGGGGAAGATCCGTCACGCGGAGGCGAAGGCCTGGGAGCGGGACCGTGACCGCCCGTACTTTTTTGGAGGCGTGGGCAGGTCCTGCGAGGATGCGGTGTGGCTCCAGAGTTTCGACGCGGACCACGCGAGGGCTATGAAGCTGGAGGCAATCACGTCCATGCTGGATTTGAGCAAGGCCTACGAGAGGGTCACGCACAGGGGGATGGTGGTGGCAGCTCGCCGAGAAGGCTTCCCGCTGCGCAGAGTTAAGCTGCTCCTGCGTTTGTATGGAGGTCGGCGCCGTCTCTGCTTGGATCGCTGGAAGTCCGAGGCATTCCACGTCCTCCTGTCGTTGCTGGCGCGCTGCTCCTTCGCCACCACCCTCCTCGAGGTCGTGCTAGTCCAGCCCGTGGATGCCATGCTGAGGTGCTGGCAGTCGGTCAAGACCACCTACGTGGTGGTCGACGACATCACGCTGGCGGTCTACGGGAGGCTCATGCAGATCGAGGCGACCATCCTGGGCGCCACGAGGATGCTCTGCCGCCCGTTGGAGGAGTTGGGCTTCAAGGTGTCGCTGACCAAGGGCCAGGTCCTCGCCAGCGACCCACCTGCGGGGAAGCGCTTGGCCAGCAAGCTCGCGGAGTGGGACTTCAGGTACGTCCGGGAGGCCCGCAACCTCGGCGTGGACTACGCGATGGACAGAAGGGCGTCCTGGAAGGTCCTGCGCGGGCGCCTCGCTCGCCTCAAGGCGAAGGCTTCCAGGTGCATGGCCCTGCGTAAGGCGGGAGCTCGGCTGGGCAGTGTGTTTCGCACTGGCGGCTTGGCTTCCATCCTGCACGGGGCCCGTGTCCGCGGGGCCCCCAGTCAGCAGCTTGCCAGGGCCCGCGCCCTGAACGGCAAGGCTCTGGCAGGAGAGGTGGGCAGGAAGTCGAGGACCATCCAATTCGCGCTTCAGGGTGGCCAGGCGTGGAGGCAGGACCCTGCGCATGCCGCCAACGCGCTGCCGCTGCAGGCTTGGGCGACCGCGGTGTTCGGGAAGTTCAGGCCCGACTCCGTCTTCAAGATGGTCTTCGCGGCGCCGGTGGAGTCGTGGGCCGATGTCACGGGGCCCGCCGCGGCGGTCAAGCTGACGCTCAGACGAATGGGCTGGACGGCGGAGTCTTGGCACGTCTGGCGTGATGACCGCGGTGCGGTGCTGGACCTTCAGGTGCGCAGCCCGCGGATGCTTGTCGGCATGGTTGAAGATGGCATCTATGGGCGTCTGATGCGCGAGGTCTCCTTCCACCCAGGTTCGAGGCGCTGCGGGGTCGCCCGCCTGACCTGGGCCCGATCAGGTTCGCGCCGGCGGGCCTTCGAGCGCAGGGGCACAATGAGATGGTGCAACTTCTGGAGGCCCTCATCGCAGGAGGGTTGGTGTCCCAGTACGACCTGTACGTGGAGCGCTCCGAGACCGACCCCAGTTGTCAGTGGGCTTTTCAAGCGCCCAGCGTCCAGGACATGGGCGGAGGAGCTCGGGCTGAAGGAGGTTGCTCTGGCTGGGCGCGCGGCGGCGCCCGGCGACCTGGGCACGCTGCGGGGCTTGGTGAATCTCAAGTTGGATCATGCTCCGCCGCCGAGTTCAACCGGCGCGGTCCTGCGAGCCGGGCTGGCCCGCAGGGAGCTCTTCCGAGGGGCGGTCTGCGTCGACGGCTCGGCAACCATCGCTGATTGCAGACAGTTATCCCGCGCGGGCTGGTCGTCCATCATGGTTTCCCGTCGGGGCGAGATCCTGGGGGGCATGTGTGGCGACGTCCCAGGCTGGGTCCAGGAGATTGGCTACGCGGAGCTTTTCGCACTGCTGAAGACCCTGGAGGAGAATAGTTACGAGGCCCTGGAGGTGCTCACGGACTGCAAGGCGGTGTGCGAGGATCACCATCAGGGCCGCGATTTCTGTTGCGGGCCGCGTCACAAGTATGCTGATATGTGGGCGCGCGTATTCTGGCACATTGACCAGTTGGGCGCGGACAACTTCACGCTGCGGTGGATCAAGGCTCATACCAGCTGGCCAGAAGCGGTCCGCCGCGGGATGCCGCGGTTCGAGTACTGGGGCAACCGCGAGGCCGACCGCTGCGCGAAGCTCGGCGCGAGGCTCCACCCGCAGCTGAACATGGAGGTGCTGGAGCGGAGGTGGGAGACATCTAAGGCTGCCGCCGCCCTGCTCTTGCGCCACCACGGCGAGGTGTTAAAGAGGCACGCTCGTCTGGGCTGACCTGACCGTGGTCCCCTGCCCCGCCCGCGCCCCCCTTCCAGAGACGGTCTGATTTTAGAGAGTTCGCCGAGGGGCCACTCGATCGTTCGTCTCGGGAGGTGTTGGGGGTGCGAGAAATGCGGAGTCAGGAGAGCCCTCAAATCCCGTCCGGTCTCACACCCGTGCCCTGGGGCCCCCAGGGTAGCGGCCTCGTCCCACCCTTCCCATAGGCTGTGGGCGTTTCGGGGTGGTGGGGCGGGGAGTGTGTCGGGGGCCCATGGGAGTGGTGGGGCGGAGGCCATTGTCTTCTGCCGCACGTGCGGCGCGTATGGTCGTCGCCAGGCCCTGCTCCTGTCCCAGCCGTGCACTCCCTTGGCGCAGAAGGCTCGGACTGCGGCTCGACTAGCTCGCGTGGCCTTGGACAAGCTCAGGGCGGGCAAGGAGCCCCAGTCTGGCAAGTTTTGGGGGCTGCCCTTTCCCCTCGCCCGTTCGGGGCCTGGTTGATTTGTGGAGGCCCTTTTTCCGAAAAGTGGGCTCGAAAGGCAAACAACACTTTTTTTTTCGCCTTCGAGCCCACTTCTGTGGCCGGCCCCCGGGGGGGGTGCCGGTGGCTCGGCGGAGCCGTCTTGTTTGAGCCTGGTCTCGTGGCTTGCCAGGGCTTCTCTTGGCCTGCCAAGTGTAGTTCCTGCGGAGCAGGTAGGCGAGTTCTGCTCAGCGGAACTCGTTCTTGTAGGACATAGAGGACATAGAGGAGGAGGAGGAGGAGGAGGTGGAGGAGGAGGACGAGGACGAGGAGGAGGAGGAGGAGGAGGAGGAGGGGAGGGGGAGGAGGAGGAGGAGGAGGAGAGGAGGAGGAGGAGGAGAGGAGGAAGGAGGAAGAGGAGGGCGAAGAGGAGGAAGGATGATGAGAACGTGCAAAAGAACGAAGAGGAGGAGGTGGGGGATGGGGGAGGAGGAATCAGGGGGAGTAAGCAGATGCGGAGGAGGAGAAGGAGGATGAGACGGAGGAGGAGGAGGGCGAATAGAAGAGCCAGACACCTCTTGAATGCCTCTCGGAGTCTCCTCGGATGTCGTTGGGAAGCTTGTTGGAGGCCTCTTGGGGCGTCTGGGGGGGAGGGCATCTTGGCGGGCCCAGGGCAGTCGATGAGCGTCTTGGGTGCAGCGGGTGTCATCTGGAGGCTTCTTGGGGGTCTCTTTGAGGCCTCTTGGCGGCCCCTTAGGCGCCTCTTAGGGCCTGTTGGGGCGCCTCTTCGGGCCCTCTTGGGGCGCTCGTGGGAGCCTTTGGTGGCGCTCTTGGAGCCATATTGGAGGAGATCGATCAGCCACGATGGGGGCGGGGGGGCCAACACTCGTCTCTTGGACCCCTCTTAGGCCCCTCTTGGAGCGCTCATGGGCGCTTTGGGGGCCGTCATGGAGGAGATCGGTTAAACATGGGTGGGTATGTACTAGCCCGCTTGTTCTAGGGTGCCTAAATTCGTCTCCTGGACCACGCTTGGAGC